TCATCATCATCATCATCATCATCATCATTATCATCATCATCATCATCATCATCATCATCATCACCACCACCACCACCACCATCATCATCATCATCATCATCAGATTTTGCTGCTGACTCTCAGTGATAGACGCGTGTTCTTCATCCTTGCTGCTGGGTTCGCCTTTGGAGATTCGATTGCAAAGGTTTGTAAACCGGGCCACCAACTAAGCGTTATGGCTAGAATAAGACAAATTCCATTTATATAAATGCGGGGTTCAGAATGGTTAGTATTTGCGCCGATTGGCTTAGGATCGCTATTTTCTCTGTGCCGATTGTCAGGCCAAAATTTGAGCAGCAGATGAAGGGGTCTCCTCTTTGCTGCATATCCTCTTCCATTACGGTCTTTGACGCGCAGCCACTCGTGAGCAACAATTAGTAAGCGCTGGTCTTAGATACCATCGAAGATATCAGACCACGAATATTGAAGAACTTTACGGTAGTTGTCGTCGAACCTCGACAGTTCCTTACGGCGTGCATGGCGGAGAACGTAAGACTGAATAAGGTGGAGGGGCGAATACGCAGACCTGCTTTACATTACAGGTCACTGTAATGTTTCAAAGAGTGCCCCGTCGTCCGTGACACGAGTTTTCGTCCCGTTCTTAAGGTAATTTACCATTTTAGCAAATCGCTCAAAACAATTGAAGTTCAGGATCATTTTCCAGAGCCCAATGTTCTGTTCTTCTGAAGGAGAGGAGGCAGACCGTCAAGGTCTTCGTTGATGTCTACTTGAGAAAGTTACTTAATGGCTTTTTCGCAAATTGTTGACAGGTGGTTGTGGACGCCCTGCAAGTGGGACACCCGACAGTTCGACCGTTGCGGACGATGTCCACTATGTGCTTCACAGCAAGGTGGAGAGGGACGAGGGAGCAAGCGGTGCAACCCCTAAATAGGGCTGCTTAGTCATCCCAGGCGACTGCCGGATCTCACTATGGGTCAAGACTTTTTGTTTAATGAGAAAAAGACTTGAATTAGCCTGAGTCGCCTACAAAATTGCATGTCGCCCTCTCAGCGGGCATTTCCTGTTTGGGTGGGGAGAAAGCTTGGGGATTAAGCTGGGGTCTGCCGAGTTCGAAGTTATACATATTCCGGACACTCTCATCTGGTTTACCTTGTCTATCAAGTATGGTTACCTGGGCGTGGAAGCCGAGATGAGCGGTGCTTTGTGGAACAACGCATCAGAAACATTCACCAAGGTCCATGAATTCGTTTTGCAGCGAGAGCCAGTGTACTTCGTATAGGTGTTCGCTGTCGCCATTGTCGTGGTTGTAGTATTAGACACAGCTGGCGTTACCTATGCAACATCTTTGCACTTGATAATTGCCAGCAGTTTACTGTGTCAGAGTATACTCGTCAGTGTAAGATTATGCAGTGTTTATTCAAACGCATCGATGAACCTGGAATGACCATACAACTATAACTTCATCTCTCGCCAGAGACGTGTTTTCCTTCTCTTGCGTGGAACTCACGTAACCTGTAAATCATCCAGCGTCTAAGTGTTGTTTTTGTTAAAATTTCAACAATTTCCGGCTCCAGTAACTTAGTCTGAATGTCGTTCTGTGATTTTGAACGAAAATGTTCAGTTCGCTTTAAAATGTGGGTGGCACCGGAGACCACGAGAGAGCGCCTGGTGTACCAATGGGAAGTCAATCACTCAACATAGCGTGATTTAGACGCGCACAAATGCAAAATATATATATATAGGCTATAAAATAGAACCTGGTTGTAAGTCCAGTAAAGAAAATGTAGTGTACAGTAGTTGGCCTATCTCATTAAATGCTAACTAAAATTCTGAAATACGTCCTCAATTAGAAAGGTTTACTTAGGTGAGGTTGTAACATAGTTTATTGTGCGGTAGAATCCCAATATATTTCAGTCACGCCGAGATGCCAGCTTTTGAATGCCCCCTTTTGGCCGAGTGTATAAAGAATAATTTACAGATAACATGAAACAAATATTCTTTTACGTACACATTTGTTAGAAACTTAAGTCTATTTTTAATTTTATACTCGAAGACAGAGTACCTTTCGCTATTAAAGAAGTTTCCGATATTGAAATTTGTCAAGACCATAGAGATTTCATCTTTGGAGGAACGTATGCGTTATTTCACCAATGCGACTTACGAACAGTCAACAATCATTGCAAAAGTTTACAAATCCTGCATAGCATCTTATTAAAAATCCAGAAAAAAATACGGTTTTTTTCATACGGAAAGTATACGGTGGGTAGGTCTGAAACTCTAGGCGCCAATGTAACTACCAATAGGGTCCAAAGTTATTCGGCAACTGAGCGCGTTTTATAAAACCCAACGATACGTCTTCTTGTGAATTAGTGTAGCAACGGTTATGGTTAAAAACGAAGATAAATAAATTGTTGTCGTTTTTTCAGAGGCTTATTGTGTCGTGTTTTATTACATGATGGTAGATGTAATAAAAAGCGCATGCTCGTTGGCAAAGAGCTGATCGCTCATAAGCAGATAGAAGTGGGGTTGTGATTCTAGGCGTTTATAGAAAAATGGCTTATGCTTAAGTTAATATTCAAAGTTTACATTGATGGAAGGTTTTAGCTTTTTTCATCCCCAAAACAGAAAACCTATTAATGTTGTCGATTTGCTGCCGTTTAAGCTAATAAACGGTTCTAGCTTTTGTGCCGGTGCCACGTGAGTACTGCTCTTTTAGAACAATAACTGAAGTTGGTCGTTTTTATGGAGCAGTTGGTTTTATCCGAGTTACTGATTTAAAAAAATGTACGATTCTGTACTAATTATTGTCTGGGAAATGAATTTGGTGACGCGTGTTGTGGTGTATGCGTGTTAGACGCATTTGATGCATGTTCACTGCAAGCAATTGGATAGCAAACATGCGCCACGATCTTGCCATTTTTGCTCAGTCGAACAGCCGAATGCCGACGAAGACCATTGGAACAGTAGTTCTTGCATTTTCGTGCATTTTCGACAAGTCCTTGGCGGTAAGGATACCATGCTCTTGATGGTTGTGCAAATACACGTCGTCAACGTTGCTGGCTAATGGATTTAATATCGCGCCGTGGTAATAAAGCAGGGGACGTTCACTCCAAAAAGCTAAATAAAATAGTTAATGGTGTTGTGACAAAGGATCTTTAGTCGTCTGACTGACATATTGACCATTTGTGTGGGGTCACCTGCCTCGTAATCAAATGGGGAGCCCACCTAGGTACTACTTGTGACGCTGAGACGTTCATATGCAGCCCTTTCACACCGGCTGCATCAGATTTAGGGTTCATCTTACAACATTCTTCGCCCTTGTAATTCTACTATACCACAGATCCGAAAATCACAATCTCGTTAAATTATTGTCCTGATATACAACAACTGTGTTGGATACCTGACTCACTTTCATTGGTCTGAAACCGACTTTCATAATTGAAGAAGACGATAGAGGGCGCTAAGTGGGCAAGAGCATTCCCCGAAGTTCGCCTAGGTAATAGCGTACTGGATTTAAGCTGGATTCCCTCTTAAGATGATCAACAGTTCACTTCCATCTTTGTGAATTTTGTCTTTAACAGAGGTAACACAATCTGACAACATACTTTCAGCGACTGGTCTCAAGAAATGTTAGCCATAATATATCGGCCCTATCAGAATGGTTGCTTTCGAATCCCTACCTTACCAGTCGTCTGTAAAAACGGCACTCAATTAAGAATGACTACCTAAGAAGCATGTATTTTTCTATTGTTTTTCGATGTCCTGATAGATTCAAATATATTTTATAGAGGACGTTTGCAAAAAGATGCTTTTTAGCTGACTTTGCAGTAAATCCCGTCTTCTGCAAACTTGTTCCTAGAAGAAAAGCTACCTTTTGGTTTTGAAAAAGCCTATAATTATGAGCTTTATTATGACCTTTAAACGCCTATTCATACAGCACCAGAGCCGCCCGTCTATTGTTGGTCCTCATAGAATTTAGTCCACATTCATTGCAAAATTTTGTGAGATCTCTATGGTAGCTTCTTAATGACATTGAGCAATGATGGATTGCCCTTACACGGAAAATATAGGGCACGTAAAATTAAAACACGAAACTCGAATGCAAGGGCAGATCGGACTCAAAAGTATTCAGGAACTAAGACTTCGTTAAACTGAAAGTTGCACTTTTTGAACCTAAAATTTAGTGCAAACTGGATTTGTTGCCAAGCCCGTGCAAGATGGGATATCTTTCTGCGTGTTCTCCATAAAATATATTTCAGTTTATGAGGCAATCGGAAAGTATTAGAAAAAATGCATGCTGCTTAAGTTATCATTTCTTATCGAGTGAGATTTTTAAAAGCTGCCGAATATAAGTGCTTTCAGAAGCCAACATCCCTACGAGTCGGAAATATTATGGAAGGATGCCCCACGATAA